AGCCCATATTTAATAAAGTATCAGCACTTAAAGATTGGCAACATTTGATGATGTCTTTAGATGATTGCCACTATATCGAAATTATAGATGGGTGTCTAAACTAAATTATTTAGACTATGTCTAAAATATAAATTAATTTAGACATTTTCAATTGTCTAAAATGCTGAAATTGAATTTTTTATTAATAATTTACTGAACTTTGCGGATTTTGTGTATATGCACATGACTTTTAGTTGTATTTAAAGCGAATCATTACTATTTATTAATTTAGACATTTAGACATTTTTGTCTAAATACTATTTTGACTTTAGACAACCCCAAAAACAATTTAGATGCCCATCTATAATCGAAATAATTTGTTAATGAACGACATGAAAAGGTTTAAAAAAATATCCGGATAATCCATAGAATTGAGCGGATTAGGATGATCTGTCAGATTTGACAGATTTAACAGATGATCCAGTATATCGAATATATTAATATATATCAATATAAAAATCTGCTAAATCCGTTAAATCAAAAAAATTCTGTTCTGAAATTTTATCCGTTAAACCCTTAAATCTGCTAAATTGAGTTTCACTGTGTACCATCATCATCTGTTCCTGCTGAACGTGTCTTTTCAACTACCGGAAATTTAATCACAAATAAAAGAAACTGTTTAAATCCATCAACAGTTAAAAATATAATTTTCTTAAAAGAAAATTTACAAAAGCTTCAAATATACAAAAGAAATTGTAAATAAATTTAACTTTTTTTATTATTTGTAAATAAAGCTCTTTATGATATCATTTCAATTTGTTTTAAAGTGAAGACACTATTTTTGAGAGTCTGAACTTTATAGTAAAATGTCAAATTTTAAAATAATAACCTGTTAGATATTTTGAAGCATTGAATTAAGTCACAATTGCTATGAAGTTAATTTTTGATCAACCTTGATTAATGATACCTGACGAAACGTTTTTGTAGGCGGGAAATTGTTTTGTCAAATCTTGTTAATCTTGTCAATTTGGCAAAATGGTAAAGGAAAATCTGACGAAAAGTAATATTCTTCATTAAAATGTCACACAATAGTCAAAACTAATCAAAGATGAATCAATTTACGAATTTGCTAATAATTATGATCCAAAAGATTTAGTAAAAGATACCTTTGTTGAAGATGAATTTGAAAGTGAGCATAATTCAGAAAATGGTTATTTTCATGATTATTGTGAAGTTAATGAAACTAACTGATAGAAATAGTTATTTAGAATAATAATGTTAAGATATTGACATTAATAATACAAATGAAGATGATGATAATAATTCTCAAAAATCAGAAAATAAAAATGAAAAATAATATTTTAAAATGTAAAATGTAAAATGTAAAATGTAAAATGTAAAAATTATTATTGCAGGTTATTATGATGCAGGACACCCAGTCCCTACAACTTTCTGCACCACAGCGACAGATTTGGGAAAAAATTCCCAATCAAAAATGCAATAAAATTTTTACAGTCACGTGTTTTAAAAATAGATTTGGCACGTTGCATTCTCTTTATTAGTATCACGTGACAAAGATCTGCAATACAGATTTCAAAATTTTCAATTCTTTCATTTTTAATATAAAAAATTTGCGTGTAACACGTCACTTTGGGGGATTAACATAGTAAATTTGTTAAACTTGTGCAAATTTAAGACTTAATTTCTCCACAACAACATGACATATCAACGAAATGAAAATGTCATTTTGTAGAAAAAGGTCTTAGCTTCAAAATGACATCTTGTTTTTTTGGTCACATATTTCCATTTTTGGAGGAG